GGCCTTGCCTTATTGAGAATTAAATGAGATACTGTGTCTAGTATGTCATTTAGTGTGTGACAGGTTTCAAGGTTTTGGTTAATATTAGTTCTCTTCTCAGGGAGATTCTATCAATTTCATGGTTTCTTTGTTTTTTTAAAAATTGATTTTGGAGAGAGAAACATCAGTTTGTTCCATTTATTATGTATTCATTGGTTGATTCCTGTAAGTGCCCTTACTGGGGATCAAACCTGTAAACCTTGTCCTATCTGGACAATGCTCTAACCAACTGAGCTACCCCACCAGGGCAATTTCATTTCTTTAAGGGAAGTAAACTAGTTGTTACTGTTACCAATTTTGCTATAAGCAGTTTTATAAAATAGACTATTTCATGAGTATTAAACTGCTTATCACTTCAAGTTTTCTTTGAATTCTTTTACTTTACATAACGTTTTTATTGTTGTAATCTGTGAAATAAAGTTGATCCCAAAGAAATTGCTAACTATTTTAGCCCTTTAATTTCAATTGGCTTTGTTCTGAACCCACAAAACCTTAATAATATCTTAGTTGAAGGAATTTCCTAGCTGTCCCTTAGCAACTGTAACTCTCTGAGTATTCTGATTTTTACACTGAAGACAATGCTCTAACACTTTGTAACCACAGCATTGGCTTTCATTTAATCATAAGATCTTCACCGAGTTTTTGTTGTTGATGTAAATTTGAGGAGGCTTGACATTTGATGATTATTGATAGCCACACAGGAGTTCTTCAGGTAGAAAATAGGTTGTCTCTTGCTCTTGTAAGAGAAGGGGTTGGAGAGAAAGTTATTATATGTGCGAGGTATCTTTTACATATATTTAGGATAGTTATGGGACAAACAGCGTTAAGAAAGGGATAGGTAAAAGATAAGAGGCAGATGACTTAAGACCTGAGTTTGTTGGCTTTAACAGAAGAGAACATGAGTTGAATAAAGCTTTGTTCTTTGTATTAAACTTTGTATTAAATTTGGCTTGACATAGATTTGCATTGCCTTTATAAATAAACTGTTAGATGTCTTCTAAGTATATAATCTAAATACGCTCAGCTAAGATTTATCAATCTTTCCTATATTGCACACTACTCTATAAGCTTACAACATTTTCTGCCTTTCCTAGGTTGTTATGGTTAAAAGGTATGATTATGGTTTAAATAGAATAGATGAAAATCAAACTTTCTGAGGAAGAATGAAATACTCTGAATTTTGCAGTTTGATATAAACATTTTATTTCCACTTTTTCTCCAAACTCGAAAAGTTAAAGGTATCTTCATCATTCATTTCTTCAGAAAGCTCCTAGAAAGGATATCCTTGTTAATAAACTGGAGAAGAATGAACTAAAATTTGCAAATGGGAGAATAGCTGAATTTGGATATTCAAATAGCCTCGTCTCGCTGCATTACCTAAAAATGGATTCTTTTTTTTTTTTTATCCTCACCCTAGGACATTTTTCGGTATTTTGTTCAGATAGAGTGGGAGGGAGAGGGAGAGGGAGAGGGAGAGGGAGAGGGAGAGGGAGAGGGAGAGGGAGAGAGAGAAACATCGACATGAAAGGGACACATTGAGTGGTTGCCACCCATACGACCCAAACAGGGCTGGGACAAACTGCAACTGAGGTACGTGCCCTTAGCAGGAACCGAACCCGGGTCTCTCCAGACCACAGGTCAACACTCTAACCGCGGAGCCAAACCGGCCAGGGCTAAAAATGAATTCTTATTGATGGCTAGGAAATCTGATTGGTTTAATGTATGTTCATTGGTTGCATGTATCTCTTGTTTCTTTCCTTTTTTAAAAAAATGGAATTTACTGGGGTCTTTTGTTTCTTTAAATCTTTCTTTCAGTGTGTTGTTAACTTTCTCCCTGTTAGCCTGTGCAGCAGAATCTGATCTGGGAGTTTAAGCTGACCTTATAATTGAATTACTTTTTATGTCATTTCTTCAAAAGATAATACTGATTGTGTTCTAAATAATTTACTAAAATGGGAGTTAAGAAAATAAAATTTTATAATAAAATTTATAATCAAGATCAGGTAATTACAATTTTTTAATTATTTTTTGAATAGACTATATTTTAGAGTAGTTTTATGTTCACAGTAAAAATAAGAGGAAGGTAAAGAGCTTTCTCATATACCACCTACCCCACACACATGCATAGCCTCAATTATCACCATCCCCCACCAGAGTGGAACACTTGTTATAATTGATGAACCTGTATTATTAACACATCATTATCACTCAGAGTCCATGGTTTACATTAGGGTTCACTCTTAGTGGTTTACATTCTATGAGTTTGGACAAATGTATAATGACAGTAGTGTCATACTATTAGAATAGTTTCACTCCTACAAAAATTCTCTGTGCTCCACCTGTTCATTTCTTCCAGCCCCTGACAACCACTAGTCCTTTTACTGTATTCATAGTTTTACCCTTTTCAGAATGTCATTTAGTTGGAATTATATAGTAAATAGCCTTTGCAGATTGGCTTCTTTACTTAGTAATATGCTTTTAAGTTTCCTCTATGTCTTTTCATGGCTTGATAGCTCATTTCTTTTGAGCACTGAATAATATTTTATTGTCTGTATGCAGTACCGTTTATCCATTCACCTACTGAAAGATACATATCTTGGTTGCTTACAAGCTTTGGCATTTTATAAAGCTGCTATAAACATCTATGCAGGTTTTGGGGTGGAGGTAAGTTTTTAACTCATTTGGGTAGATAATAAGGAGCATGATTGCTGGGTTGTTACTGTAAGAGCATGTCTAGTTTTATAAGAAACCACCAAACTGTCTTCCAAAGTGGTTGTACCATTTTGCATTTTCACCAGCAATGAATTCGAGTTCCTGTTGCTCTGCAACTTCAGCATTTGGTGTTTTCAGTATTTTGTATTCTGCCGTTTTAATAGGTGTGTAGTGGTATCTTGTTTAATTTGCAGTTCCCTAATGACATGATTTTGAGCATTTTTTCATAATCGTATCTGCCATCTGTCTATCTTCTGTGGTGAGTTGTCTGTCAAGGTGTTTTGCCCATATTTGAATTGGGTTGTCATTTTATTGTTGATTTTAAGAATTCTTTGTATAGTTTAGATAGTAGTCTTTTATCAGCTGTGTCTGATGATTTTGCAAATATTTTTTCCTAGTCAATAGCTTGTCTTCTCATTCTCTTGAATATGTTTTATCCTAAAAAATGTTTATGACTTTAAGGACATCTAAGTTTTTATTAACTTCTGCATATTAATTATAATATAAAAGAATTTGGCCCTTTAGAAGTTCATATTTCTGTTCTAAATACATAAAGCATTGATTCTGCATATCAGGTTTTCCTCATCAGGCTTTGAGATTTAAATTTACAGTAGTTTAGTTTTCTCATTTTATAACCTGCCTTAAAAAGGAAAAAAAAATTGTGTTAAAATATATAGTCAACATATCTTATAACTCTGTTATTCTTCATTTGAATAAAGTGTGGATAGGATGATTTAATCTTTTAATCAAGTGAATATATCTATAATAGTCTAAGAATCAAGTCTTATCTTACTCTCCTCTCCATTTTTAAAACAAAGTTCTTTGTTGTCTGTCTAATTGGGTTTACAGATAGTATTTCCAGACCTTGGTTATTATGTTAATTCCCTGACTCCTTTCATTGAAAAGGATCAGATTTCTGACAAACAAGCCCACTGTATTCCCTAACCACTGTTTTCTTCTCTGTTCTACAGAGTAGTAAGTAAATACTAAGCTCAAAATGAGGGGAGACAGTCTAGAATGTGAAATGGAAAGAGAAGCAGTTTGGAAACAAGAAAGCCAACAGAATTTAGAACAGTGACTAAATCTATTAATTGAGTTATTGTTTTGTTTTTTATAAACTGATAGCTTTGAGTATAACACATGGATTGTGTTTTCTAAATCAGAATTTGTAGCAAATAGTTTGGCTGATATAATTCGGCTTTTCTTTTGTTGTTTTTTTGTGTGTTTCTTTTTAAGTTTTATGTTAAATAAAGGAATTTACAAATTGGCAGCTTATATTTTTCTTAGTTATTTTCCAGAGAAATCAAAGTTTAGAATTAGAAAGTAATCCTTTATAAGTAAAGGTTTACTTACATGAGTTTTTTCAGCTGGCGATTAATGCTCCAGTGTACTATGGCCTATTGCTGGAAAGTGCAAGTAAGTACTGGTATTAGACTACTATGTGTTGTTTTAGGGAAAATAGACAATTGGTTTAGAGTTTTAGTCCTTCATAATTTTATTATCTGAATGTTATAAAATAGAAGTTACTAGAAATTAAATATTTGGAAAATTATATGACTTTAAAAAAATTATCAATAAATTAATGGAAACAAATTTGAATTTATTGACATGAGATATTGATTATATTGTATGTTTTTCCAAAGCAGAGTAAAACCTATAATATAATGCAGCCTCCTCTATTTGTATTGGTATATTAATGAGAATGTACCTACATTTTTTATTAAGGAGTTATATATGGTTGCAAAGAAATTGATACTTTTGTTTTGCTATTTTTATGATGATGGTACGTTTTCAGTGTAACAGAACAAAACAATATACAAAGATTGCCCCAGCTTTGGAGGGGGTATAAATTCAGAGTTAGGGATTGTGCAGGTGTAACAAATTGGCAGGCTCACAAATAACTTACTTATACTCATGTTCTTCCTACCCCAAAACCCAAAATTCATCTGCTTCAGATGGACGGAATAAAACTCATTATTTTACTACATCACAAATTTCTTGTTTTCTAGAATACGGAATCTAGTCTTATAAGAGATCTTCAAGTCTGCATCTTAAAAAAAAGTTTCTTTATAATATGTGAGCTCTCACTTTGTGAACAGGGTTATTTTAAAATGTACCTTATATAAGTGTGTGAAGTTACATTCTTACTGAAATTCAGTGCTAGCAACATCCTTAAGGATAAAAAGACTTCTTCTAAAAAAATTCTCATTATTTTAGCATTAGTTTATCTGAAGTGCTTTTGTTTGCAGGAAGAACAAGCAGCAAAATTGAAAGCTGAGAAGATCAGAGTTGCCCTAGAGAAAATTAAAGAGGCACAAGTGAAAAAGGTAATATTTGGCCTTTTCCCTGGCCTGGGGTTTTTATCAGTTTTACAGATTTATAAAGAATTGCTTTGTTTATATAATGTATCTCTAAGATATGGAGAGATAGAGGGGTATTTCTTCCTAATATATTTTTCACATGTATTTTTTGTGGGGCAAATGCATTTTTAAAGAAATAACTTTCTGGTTTAACTTATCCTAACAGTAAAATAGAATAATCTTATTATAATCTTACATGTTATAATTTTTAGGAGGCTTTAAATTTGTTTAGGTAGGCTAATTTTAGAGTATTTTTAACATAGTGAAGTTAAGTTTGTTTTAATTTATATTTAACTAAGGGCATTACTGAGAACATTACTCAGTATTGGAAGAAATTTCTAAAATGCCTACATTTTGGTTTGCATTTAATTTTCTTTTTGCCTTTTATAGCTGGTTATTAGAGTCCACATGTCTGATGATAGTTCTAAAACAATGATGGTGGATGAGAGACAGACAGTGAGACAAGTGCTGGATAACCTGATGGACAAATCCCACTGCGGTTACAGTTTAGACTGGTCCCTGGTGGAAACCATCTCTGAGTTGCAAATGGGTTAGTAATCTTATTACTTCAATTACTTTTTAAGTTTTATGTAATTCTAACAGTTTTCATGTTCATAAAAGTACCTCAAGAGTATTTATATATATATTTTTTTCTATAATATAACCTTGGCTTTTTACATTATTATTTTTTTCCCAAGTATTGAGATTTCTTTGAATATGAGGTTTCTAGTTCAATTTAGATTTTACTTATAGCTAGAACAAAGTGTTTTTGTTTTTGTTTTGTTAATCCTCATTGGAGGATTTTTTTTCATTGATTTTTTTAATCTATTTATTGGGGAGGGGGCACAAACATCGGTAGGAGATACATTGATCGGTTTTGCCTGCTGCATGTGCCCTGACCAGGGCCAGGGATCGAACTTGCAGCCTAAGTACATGCCCTTGACTGGGAGTGGAACCTGTGACCCTTTGGTGCGCAGGCTGACACTATAACCAATGAGCCACACTGTCCAGGGCTGTTTGTTTTTTGTTTGTTTGTTTTATCCTTGTTCATCAGAGGACATTTTTCCATTTTTGTTCAGGTAGAGTGGGAGGGAGAGAGAGGAAGAGAGAAACATGGGTGTGAAAGGGACACATTGAATGGCTGCCACCTGCATGACCCAATCAGGGCTGGGGACAAACTGCAACCAAGGTACATGCCCTTAACGGGAACTGAACCCGGGTCTCTCTGTACTGCAGGCCAACGCTCTAACCACTGAGCAAAACAGGACAGGGCTGTTTTTTGTTTTATTTTTTAAGGTAACAAAATACTATTTCCCTTCGAATAAGAATGGCATAGATCAACATGTTTACCAGAGACCAATTTATTTATTCACTCACATTTGTATTGAAGTCTTTATACCTGCATTAGACTTTCAAGGGACACACAAAGCACACATTTCTTATTTTTAGGAGATATACTAAGTCTTAGTTTCCTAAGATTTGTAGTTTGGTATAGTGTTTTCTAATTTTAAACATCCTCATTTTTATACCATCATTGACTCTTTTAAAAAGTTTTCTCTTTGTAATATTGTGTGATTACAGAAACCTTGCAATAATTATCTTAGCACACTTAATTGAATGAGTAATCAATTTCAATTTGCTATTTTATTTAAAATATGTATTTGCATTTCTCTTACTACCTATTATATCTTTAAATATTCATAACAATTTCCAGATAAATAAAAATGTGTAATTATTAACCCTTTCTCTCAGAAAATATGTACACAACTCCCAAAACTAAACCATAAGTTACTAGAATTTTATTAACATGTAAAAATGTATTCTGATGATAATCATAATCGTTGTTTGTTTTATCCTTGTCCATCCGATAAATAGATGAAGTAGCATCATGATACACAGAAAATATTTGGATGCTAGTTTTGGAATATTTTCATGGTCGTAGGTTAAAAACACAGTTGTAATATTTCTGAATTACATTTTATATAATTGACTATGGTATCGTTTTTTTTTTTATCCTCACCCGAGGACATTTTTTCATTTTTTGTTCAGATAGAGTGGGAGGGAGAGAGAAGAAGATAGAGAGAGAGAAACATCGATGTGAAAGGTGCACATCGAGTGGCTGCCACCCACACAACCCAACCAGGGCCGGGGACAAATTGCAACCGAGGTATGTGCCCTTAGCGGGAGCCAAACCGGCCAGGGCGACTATGGTATCTTTTATTTATTTATTTATTTTTATTTTTTCCACATCTTTATTGTTGGATGTAAAATGTATTACAGATGTTCCACATTTTTCCCACATTGACCCCCTCCTTCCCACTCCCGCCCCCCTCGCACCTTTTCCCAAACTATTGTCCGTGTCCATTGGTTATGCATATAAGTTCTTTGGTTTATCTCTTCCCACCCCCCCCAACCCCTTTCCCTTTGAGGTTTGTCAGTCTAGCAATGAATTTGTGCTTCTTAATCCCTTCACCTTTTTCACCCATTCCCCCAACCCCCTTCCCAACTGGCAACCAACAAAATGTTCTCTATATCTATGAGAATGTTCCTGTTCTACCTGTTCATTTTGTTTGTAGATTCCATTGTTGATAGATATGTATTCATTGCCATTTTGTTTGTTCATACATTTTATCTTTTTCTTTAAAAAGACCCTTCATCATTTCATATAATAACGGTTTGGTAGTGATGAACTCCTTTAACTTTTTCTTGTCTGGGAAAGTTTTTATATGTCCATCGATTCTAAATGACAGCTTTGCAGGATAGAGTAATTTTGGTTGTAGGTTCTTGGTTTTCATCACTCTGAATATTTCTTGCCACTCCCTTCTGGCCTGCAAAGTTTTTTTGAGAAATCAGCTGACAGCCTAATGGGAACTCCCTTGTAGATAACTAGCTGCCTTTCTCTTGCTGCTTTGAAGATTCTCTCTTTGTCTTCAACCTTTTGCATTTTGATGATGATGTGTCTTGGTGTGGGCCTCTTGGGGTTCATCTTGTTTGGGCCTCTCTGTGCTTCCTGGACTTGTATGTCTGTTTCCTTCACCAAGTTAGGAAAGTTTTCTGCCATTATTGTTTCAAACAGGTTTTCGATTTCTTGTTCTCTCTCTTCTCCTTCCGGCACCCCCAAGATGCGAATGTTGGCACGCTTGAAGTTGTCCCAGAGGCTGCTTACACTAGCCTCATTTTTTTGGATTCTTTTTTCTTTTTGCTGTTCTGATTGGGCGTTTTTTGCTTCCTTATATTCCAAATCGATGGTTTGCTCCTTGGATTTACGTACTCTATTATTGAAGCTATGTAAATTATTCTTTATTTCAGTTAAAGCCTCCTTCGTTTCTAACTGTGCAGCGATTATTTCTGACTGGTCCTTTTTTATGCTCTTGAGGCCCTCACTGAGTTCATTGAGCATGCTTATAAGCAGTATTTTGAACTCAACATCTGTTAGGTTGCTTATCTCCATTTCGCTTAGTTCTTTTCTTGGGGTTTTGTTCTGTTCTTTCATTTGGGACCTGTTTCTTTGTATCCTCATTTTGGCTGCCTCCCTGTGTTTGTTTCTGTGTATTACTTAATGAGAGGTATGGGGCTAGCTGAGACCCGATGCTGCTCTTTTGAAAGAATTTAGGAAAACCTGAAGCAGGATCCAAGACAGGTCAATCCTATGGTTAAGCAACTGGCAACAGCTTGGGTGGGCCTGAAAGTTGGGTGGGGCGGGGCGGGGCCTCAGGGAGTCAGCAGGGCGGGGCTACCAGTGTGAGCCAGGTTGCTGGAGTCCCAGATATGGCGACTGTCTGCCGCCCCAGGGAAGGGCTCACCAAAGGAACAAAGGCCTCTGACAGCACGTTTGTCCCCGAGGAAGCCCCCTCTCCAGCCCTCGCTCCAGTGCCAAACAGCTCAGTTCTTCCCTGTGTTTCTCTGGTGCCCCTTGAGCTGCCTTCCCTCCAGGCTTAGAGGGAGAGAGTCCGATAAGTTTGTGCGCCGGCCCTTTAGGGAGCTGCCTGTGGCTCCAGCCAGGTCAGCTTCCCTGAGCCTCAGTTTCCGCTGGTTTTTCCAGCCAGAAGTTATGGGGACTTCTCTTCCTGGCACTGGAACCCTGAGCAGGGCACCTGGTGTGGGACCGGGACCCCTCAGTCCTCAGGAAGGACCTTCCCAGCCGCGGGAGCCTCCTGATTTTTATCCGCCACACGTGGGTGTGGGACCAGCCCGTCGCCGCTGCCACCCCTCGCGCCGCCGCCCCTCCTACCGGTCTGGATGTAGCTGCTTTTTTTTTTTTTTTAATTCCGTAGTTGTAGGACTTCCATTCAGCTTGATTTCAGGCGGTTTTGGATGATGGTTGTTCTGTAGTTTTGTTGTAACTTGGATGTAGTTGTGGGAGAACGCGATACTGCATTTCCCTACGCCGCCATCTTGACCGGAAGTCCTCGCGACTATGGTATCTTAAGTAACTATTATTTAATCATATATGGCACAGTGCTTCAACTATAGTATGAGGTGAACTTGTAGATACAAAGATCAGACTGGTTGGTTTCCAGAGGGGAGGAAAATTGAGGGGCTGTGTGAAAAAGGTGAAGGGAGTAAGTACAAATTGGTAGTTGCCAAATAGTCATGGGGATATAAAGTACAACATACGGAATATAGTCAGTAATACTGTAATAAGTGGTACAGAGACATGTGGGTACTTGAAATATTGGGGGAACCACTTTGTAAAGTGTATGTTGTCTAACCACTATGCAATACACCTGAAACTAATAAAAAATAATAGTGAATATTAACTGTGATTGAAAAGTAAAATTTTTATATATAAAATTTTATATATACACACACACGCACACACATATATATACAGTCATTCAGTGAATAAAAGAAAAGAAAACAAGAGACTACTAAGAGCCCAAAATAAGGTGGTGGAAACAAATTATCATAAATGTAAATGACTCACACAACAAAAGTTATTAAGAAAGGATGAATAAACAAAATGCAGCTGTTTGCTATTTACAAAAGACCTATTATATAAATACACTAACCAAAAAGATAATTAACTATGTTAATATCAGACAAAATAGACTTAAAGCAAAATGAGTTACTAGAGATGAAGAGAATACATATTCACAGAGAAGAGACCATAATTCTAAATTTTATCTAATAGCATTAAAATGTATAAAGCAAAAGTTGATAGAATTACCAGGAGGATTTCACAAGTCAGGCTTTATAGTAGAACCTTTTCACCTAAGAACCTTTTTAGTGATCAGTACAGTCAATCAGACAAAAAAGGATGCAGGAAATTTGAAAAATAATCTGTTTGCCCTGGCCGGTTTGGCTCAGCGGTTAGAGCGTTGGCCTGCGGTTCAGAGAGACCCTGGTTCAGTTCCCGCTAAGAGCATGTATCTCGGTTGCAGTTTGTCCCCGGCCCTGGTTGGGTTGTGCAGGTGGCATCCACTCACTGTGTCCCTTTCACATCGATGTTTCTCTCTCTCTCTCTCTCTCTTCCTCTCTCTCCCGCCCACTCTATCTGAACAAAAAATGAAAAAGTGTTCTCGGGTGAGGATAAAAAGAAAAATAATTTGTTTAATATACAAAATATATTTAGAACACTATCTAATTATAGGAAAATATACATTCTTTTCAAGCAGAAGTGGAATATTTCAAAAAATTCAAGTATGAGGCTATAAGCAACTCTCAAGTAATTTCAAAAAATTAATATCTGAATAGGTTCTTTGAATATATGTTCAATCTAAAGGACATATGCTTTGATTCCTAATTTGGAATTTAGAAAATACATCTGAGTTTAAAATTAAAGCCCATGGATCAGGGAAAAAATTATCTTAGAAATTTTTTAAATTACAAGAACTGAATACTATTGAAAATACTTAACATCAGAACTTGTGAAATACAACTAAACATGTTCTTTTTTAAGGATGGATGAGAAAAGGCTTAAAGCTAAAGAAGACCTAGAAGTTAGAAGACCTAGATTCTAGTGCTAAATCTTCCACGTAGCAACTATGTGACTTTGCTGAAGTTACTTACCACCATTAGGACATGTTCCCTTATTTGAAAATAGATAGAAAACCACATAGCTTCTATAAGCCCAGGGCTATAGTGTCAATAAAGATTCTATGGCAAATCAATAAATGTGACACGCTATATAAATAAAATGAAGAATAAAAACCACATGATCATATCAACAGATGCCGAAAAAGCCTTCGACAAAATTCAGCATCCATTTCTGATAAAAATGCTCAGCAATGTGAGAATAGAGGGATCATATCTCGATATAATAAAGGCCATATATGAAAGACCTACAGCCAACATCATATTCAATGGGAACTAAAAGAATTTCCCTTAAGAACAGGAACAAGACAAGGATGCGCACTTTCGCCACTCTTATTTAACATAGTACTGGAAGTCTTAGCCACAGCAATCAGACAGGAGGAAAAAATAAAAGGGATCCAAATTGGAAAGGAGGAAGTGAAACTGTCATTATTCACAGATGACATACTATACGTAAAAAACCCCAAAGACTATCATATATTTACTAGCCTTAATAAATGAATTTGGCAAAGTAGAAGGATACAAAATTAATGTCAAGAAATAGACAACATTCTTATACGCCAATGATGAACTCACAGAAAGAAAAACTGAAAAAACAGTCCCATTTACCATCATGGCAAAAAAAATTAAGATACCTAGGAATAAACTTAACCAAAGAATGAAGGACCTATTCGCAGAAAACTGCAGGACATTGAAAAAAGAAATAGAGGAAGATATAAAAAAGTGGAAACACATACCCTGTTCATGGATTGGAAGAATTAATATTATTAAAATGTCCATACTACCCAGAGCAATCTATAGATTCAATGCAATCCCAATCAAAATACCAACAACATACTTCACAGAACTAGAAGAAATACTTCAAAAATTCATATGGAACCAAATAAGTCCTCAAATAGCTACAGCAATCTTGAAAAAGAAGAACAAAGTAGGAGGGATCACATTACCAGATTTCAGGTTATACTACAAAGCCACTGTAATCAAAACAGCCTGGTACTGGCACAAGAACAGGCATATGGACCAGTGGAACAGAACAGAGAACCCAGAAATGGACCCAAGGCAATATGCTCAATTAATATTTGACAAGGGTGGCAAGAACATACGGTAGAGTAAAGTCAACCTCTTTAATAAATGGTGTTGGGAAAATTGGACAACTACATGCAAAAAAAATGCAACTAGACCATCATCTCACACCACACACAAGAATAAACTTAAATGTGACTCATGAATCCATAAAAATCCTAGAAGAAACTGTAGGCAACAAAATTTCAGAAATCATACACAGCAGAATTTTCACTGCTACATCCCCTAAGGCAACAGAAACAAAGGAGAAAATGAACACATGGGACTACATCAAACTAAAAAGCTTCTGCACAGCAAAAGATACAATCATCAAAATGGAAAGGCAACCCACTGTATGGGAGAGCATAATTGCCAATGATATATCAGATAAGGGGTTAATTTCCAATACATATATAGAGTGCTTATACAACTCAACAAAAAGAAGACAAAGAACCCAATTAAAAAATGGGCAGAAGAACTAAATAGACACCTCTCCAAACAGGACATACAAATGGCTAAGAGACATGAAGAAATGCTTAACATCACTAATCTTCAGAGAGATGCAAATTAAAACACCAATGAGGTATCACCTCACACCTGTCAGAATGGCTGCCATCAACAAATCATCAAACAACAAGTACTGGCAAGGGTATGGAGAAAAGGGGACCCTAGTTCACTGCTGAAGGGAATGCAGACTGGTGCAGCCACTATGGAAAACAATGTGGTGTTACCTTAATAAATTAAAAATTGATTTTCTATTTGACCCAGTGATCCTACTTCTAGGAATATACCCTAAGAAGCCTGAAACACCAATCAGAAAGAATATATGTACCCCCATGTTCATAGCAGCACTATTTACAATAGCTAAAATCTAGAAACAGCCCAAATGTCCATCAGTAGACGAATGGATCAAAAAGCAGTGGTACAGCCCTGGCCAGTTTGGCTCAGCGGTTAGAGCGTTGGCCTGCGGTCCGGAGGGACCCGGGTTCGGTTCCCACCAGGGGCATGTACCTCGGTTGCAGTTTGTCCCCTGCCCTGGTTGGTCGTGCGGGTGGCAGCCACTCGATGTGTCCCTTTCACATCAATGTTTCTCTCTCTCTCTCTCTTTCTCTTCCTCTCTCTCCCTCCCACTCTATCTGTACAAAAAAAAAAAAAAAAAAGCAGTGGTACATATACACAATGGAGTGCTATGCAGCTGTAAGAAAGAAAGATCTCTTATCCTTTGAGACGACATGGAGGGACCTGGAAAGTGTCATCCTAAGCGAAACAAGCCAAACAGAAAGACAAGTATATGATCTCACTTATTTGTGGAATATAATGAATATAACAGTCTGAGGAATGGGGTAATCCCGGAGATGTGGAAGTAGGGTATAGACCGACAATCCCCAGAAGAGGGAGTGGTGGGGGAGAGACAAACCATAGAACTTATGTGCATGAACAATGGACATGGACAACAAAGCTGGGGACAGGGCAGGGAGGGAGGGAGAGGGGGGAGTCAGTGAGGGAAAAGGAGAAACATCTGTAACAAAAATAAATAAATTTTTTAAAAAGATTCTTTGCTTTTGCTGTGAATTACTTAGCAAGATTTCATGTCTTTGATACAATTCTGATGAATACTAACAAAATACTGATATTTTATTTTGGGACAGAGAGAATTTTTGAAGACCATGAAAACTTGGTTGAAAATCTTCTTAATTGGACAAGAGATAGTCAAAACAAGCTTCTGTTTATGGAGCGTATAGAAAAATATGCACTTTTCAAAAACCCACAGGTGAGACTCAATAACATAGATGTCAGGATTTTTAAATGTTTATTTTTATTACTGCTAAGTTAATAGAGTTTAAAGACTGGCGGCCACCTTGTTGGGACACTGTGGTTGTAAACCCCATGGGAGCATTTACTGCTGCTAAGGTGGAGGGACTGCTGGGCCCAGGCTGTCAGGCCTCAAAGAGGTTACCAGCCTGCAGAGCCAGATGGGGTGAGTGAGCTCTTGGGGCAGCAGAAGTAACTCCAGGGAGTTACCAGGTTTCTGCTCTCTCTAATCCAGAGCTGTGTTCAATAGCTATTTATTTGATGAGTTTCTCATCCACCAAGGACAAATACTTACATATTTAAATGTCTCTACTTCAGCCACTTATCCAGGTGACACTTTATTTTGATTTATTTTTTAAATCATTTTTTTAATCACACTAACCTTGATTATAAATGGTTCCACATTCTAATATGTTACCTTAATTTATTTGGCATCTTTGCTTATTTCAAAACAATGTTTGGGTTAATACTTCTTAATGCCCAAATATTTTATAAAAATCAGTGAGAGAAAACAACCCTAAGTATAAAAAGGAGAAAAAAGAGTAGCAATATTAAAGATATTGAATAGTTGTTTTTTAGGTGACTTAATTATGACATGTATTTACTGGATATATTAAGTGAAGTATATTCATTTGGAAATACCAAATTATCTTTTTATGGGTGATTGTTGAAATTTTTCAATAAGGCTAATAATTAGAATTCATATTTTAGTTGAATCACCCAAATGAGATTATGTTAGTCTCAGAATTTGTGATTTCTTCTTTAAAACCCAGAACATAGATTAAATTTTCTGTATCTGGATCAATTAAATTCAGAATATTTTAAGAAAATTTGCCTTCTTTGTTATACCTAATAATTTGTAAACCTTTCGGGTCCTGTAAAAACAGCTTTCATTAGTATATCAAAACATAATACTGTTGCATGTAATATCACCCCAGGATGTGGGGGAGAGCAGTTTTATGAAGTAACTGAAGATAAATGGGTATGGTAAGGAGGAGGCCACTGTTAACCATTTAATGATGATGTCCATGCATCAGTTGCTTGTCAAAGAGTGTTCCTTCTCATTCTGCACAGGCAGAAGTTGACATGAAGTTACTATATCTCTAGAAGAAATCATATATGTTCTTGTGCCAAGGGAAAAATGGAATATGTTTATCCTTTAAATTTCATTTATTCATTTTTCCAGAACTATCTTCTGGGGAAGAAAGAAACAGCTGAGATGGCAGATAGAAACAAAGAAGTGCTGTTGGAGGTATGACTCTTCACTCCCCTATTATAATATTAAAATATTAAGCACCGTTTTTTGAAGTCAGGTATGTCAGTACAGTATATTTATTTTTGCAGATGTAACTAGAAAAGACTATATTCTTCTATAGCCTGATAGAAAGAATTCAACTAGTGTACTAAAAGGGGCACAAGCTTTTGGGGGCTGACGAGTGGGAGAAAAGGCTGGTCAATGAAGCATATGATTGTGCTGTTTTATCTGCTTACACAGAGCGAAATTTTAATATAATTAGCTAGTTACAAACTTATTTCAAGACTTAGTCTTACATAACTGAATTTTTAAAAGCATAATCATTTTTCAAAACATACATCTCCATATTTTGAAGAGTAATAAAACAAATTCAAATGTAATTGAATTTTTGGCTTTTGCTAATTTAAGAGAAGATCAAAGAAGTTTGAAAACCAGAATAGTACTGGCACAAGGACAGGCATGTAGATCAATGGAACAGAATATAGAACCCAGAAGTCGACCCAAGACAGTATGCACAATTAATATTCAGTAAAGGAGGCAAGAGCATACAATGGAGAAAAGACAGTTTCTTCTATAAATGGTGTTGGGAAAATTGCAAAAAAATGAAACTAGACCACCAACTTACACCATATGCAAGAATAAACTCAAAATGGATAAAAGACTTAAATGTAAGTCGTGAAATCATAAAAATCCTAGAAGAGAATGCAGGCAGAAAAATCTCAGACATTATACATGGCAGAATTTTCACTGATACATCACCTAAAGCAAGAAAAACAAAGGAAAAAAATTAATAAATGGGACTACATCAAACTAAAAAGCTTCTGCATGACTAAAGAAACCAGCATTAAAATGAGAAGGGAATCCTCTATCTGGGAGAACATATTTGCCAATGATACATTGGATAAGGGGTTAATAGCTAAAATATATAGAGTACTCAAACAACCCAACAAAAGGAAGACAATCCAATTAAAAAGTGGACAGAGGACCTGAATAGACACTTCTCCAAACAGGACATACAAATGGCCAAGAGACACATGAAAAAATGCTCCACATCTCCATTCATCAGAGAGACGCAAATTAAAACGACTATGAGATATCACCTCACACCTGCCAAAATGGCAGCCATCAACAAATCCTCAAGTGCTGCTGGCAAGGACAAGGAGAAAAGGTACTCTAGTACATTGCTGGTAGGAATGCAGACTTGTGTAGCCACTGCAAAAAACAATATGGTATTTCCCCAAAAGATTAAAAATGGAACTGCCATTTGACCCAGTGATCCTACTTCTTTGAATATACCCTAAGAAGCCTAAAACACCAATCAGGAAGAATATGTGTAGTCCTATGTTCATAGCAGCACTATTTATAATAGCTAAGAACTGAAAACAGCCCAAGTGCCCATCAGTAGATGAGCGGATAAAAAAGCTGTGGTACGGCCTGGCCGGTGTGGCCCAGTGGTTGAGCATCCCATGCACCAAGAAGTCGCTGGATCAGTTCCTGGTCAGGGCACATGCCCAGGTTGTGGGCCAGATCCCCAGTGGGGGCATGTGGGGTGCTGCCAGTTGATGTTCTCTCTCACCAATGTTTCTGTCTCTTTCCCTCTCCCTTCCTCTCTCTCTAAAGAAAAATTTTTTTTACAAAGCCATGGTACATTTACACAATGGAATACTATGCAGCTATACGAAAGAAAGATCTCTCAGCCTTTGAGATGACATGGAGGAACCTGGAAAGTATTATGCTGAATAAAATAAGCCAGTCAGAGAAAGACAACTACTATATAATCTCAGTTATTTATGGAACGTCATGAACCAAATAAGCTGTCGACCAAAATAGAGTCATGGAAGTAGGGAACAGATTGACAGACCTCTGAGTGATGGGGGGGTAAGAGGGTGGGAAGAGATAAACCAAAGAATTTATATGCATATATGCATGACCAATGGACACAGACATTAGGTTGGGGAAAGCACGAGGGGGTGGGACCCGGGAGGAGGGGGCCAGTGGGGGAAAAAGGGGGACATCTAACACTTTCAACAATTAAAAAAAAGAGAAAAGAAAACCTGAATAAATGCTTACTTGCAACAAGGCAATTAGGAAAGGCAGGATCACGCTCAGCTTTTCATATGATGCAACAATTAAGAAAAATCCTCTTTATAATTCCCAATGTTTGTGTACTTAGGGGAGAAATTAATTTAGGCTCCAGATGTCATGTGTTAATATTTAGTGAGCATTTCTAAAATTATTTTACTAAATACATGATTGCTTTTCATTTTAATATTAAAGTTCTATCTACATATAGATAGAATTCAAAATTTCGAGTTTGTTTATATTTCTTTCAATTTAGCATTAAATATTTTAAAAATAAATGCCCTCTTTGTTTTAGAGTCATATAAATTGATAGTTTTTAAATTGTGAAGGGTTTAATCATTTACTTACCATGTTGCTTTCTTTTAAAATGTATTCCTATTTATGCCCTGACCACTTTGGTTCAGAGGTTAGAGCATTAGCCCGCAGACCAGTGAGTTGCCGGTTCAATTCTGGTCAAGAGGGTTGCAGTGTTCAGGGAGGCAGCCAGTCCAGGTGTCTCTTTCACATCAATGTTTCCCTCTCTTTCCCTCCGCCCTCCCTCCCTCCCCTCTCTCTCTCCCTCCTGCCCTCTCCCTCCCACTCTCTCTGAAGATAAATGGAAAAATATCCTCGAGTAAGGATAAAAAAATACAATAAAATAAATGTATTCCTGTTTCACTTGACAGCTAATCTAAATGTGTTATTTGGAAAAATATAAAGTTCAATGCTTATGTTAGCTGACACTTTTATTAAATTTAGTGTAACTATGCTGTTTACAGATGCATTTAAGTGCTGTTATATGCAACTCAGTTGACATTTCATCTTATTTTCTTCAAAACAGTGTTAGGTAAAAGTTCATAGGGATTGCCATAGTAGTTCTAAAATAAATCCATATTATATTTAGAATAGAAAGTTCTAATTGAGGTAAAATTAGTAGCATGATTTTAATACAAAGCCATTATGATTTAATTACTGTCATACATTTCACAGGGGTAAACAACTTTGTTCTGATATGTTTTTCCAACTTACCTTCTTCTTTTAGGAATGTTTTTGTGGAAGTTCTGTAACTATACCAGAAATTGAAGGAGTCCTTTGGTTGAAAGAAGATGGCAAGAAGTCCTGGAAAAAGCGTTATTTTCTCTTGCGAGCATCTGGTATTTACTATGTCCCTAAAGGAAAAGCAAAGGTGTGTTCCTTCTGCTGGCTTTTGAGTTCTTCATTATGCTGATTGATTTTAATTTCCAGTGAGTGTGCTGACAAGGTGAATTCGGGCTCTGATTTGTTTCAACTTCTGTAGGACACACAGAACATTGCTTTGTTTATTGATCTGTTATAAAGAAGAAACCTGGAAATGTTCACTCTCTGGTCATTAGTTGGGCCCATCTCCTGCCAAATTTTAGATGGACTTCTGGACTTCTGCCAGAGTATTTTTGCTTGTAGTTGTTTGGGGAGAAGAGCTTTCTGGGATTATAGATGTTTCAGTCTTGCTTGGGTAATATGCTTCTTCTGAGGGCCCCCTTGGTACCTATTGCTTCTGTGCTTGGGGCAGGGGTTATGGGGTGGGGAGCAGCACTCTTTTAAGCTCCTTATACACTATCACTTATTCCAGTCTTTACTACCTTCCTGAGAGGTATGTATTGTTGCCCCTATTTAACTGGTAAGGAAACCCCGACTTGAGAATCACTGTACTGGAGATATGCATGTACATAAACTGAACCACGCTATTTTCTTATTCTTTCCAGAGAGCTATATTATACTATATTGTATTTAATATACGATACCATATTTAAAGTTTCTTTAAAATGCCACCCTTTTCCAAGCAAGTCGGTGTTCATTGTAAATGGCAAGACAGCAAGTGAAAGGGACGGGCTTTTTTGTTGCATCATGGATTAAAAAAAGAAACATTTCTAGAGAATCTCAGTCTTATCTTCTGCAAAATGGCAGTAATTTCTAGTTGATAAAGTTTAGATTTTATACTAGAAATTGTTACCAGTTATGATATTTGCTTGCTTGCACATTATTGTTAATTCATTCTTCTGGGCTTTTTTTTTATCTTAGGTCTCTCGGGATTTGGTATGCTTTCTCCAGCTAGATCATGTAAATGTTTATTATGGCCAGGACTATCGGAACAAGTACAAAGCCCCTACAGATTATTGTCTGGTGCTAAAGGTAAACATGTATCTCTTTAGGATTTTAACTGATGTTAGACATAGAGCGTGTTATTGGACATTTTAGAATAGTTTGGATCTGCATCGAGTATACTGGTTTTGCTTTTATCTATAGATTTTTTTTAGGAATGGTGAAGGATAGTGAAGAATGTGCTATACCACAGCTAAGTAGCCCTTACTAGATTGATGTTACAAAGAAATGAATACTAGATTGTAAGCTTTGAGTCATAATATATAAAATAGATATTATAAATATGAGGCTTTCATTTCATAACAAGCTTATTTTAAGAAAACTTAGATCAAAGCCAAATGTGGAACATGGAAATTTTGTGTGGTTTAGATTTTCTCCTGTACTTACTCATAGAACCATCAGAGGGCACTGTGCCCAAGGTCATAGAAGACTGGCTCTCATCAGGTCCAGAAATAAGTTTTTTTCTTTTCTCCCCAAAACACACACACAACTATAGCCTTGATAACCTGTGCATGTATTATGACCTGTCTGAGCTGTTTTTAGGGTTTTTTTCCCACGCTCCTTTATCCAAACTTTTGAGCTCACACTGATTATACCTGTCCTTTGAGAACTGACATGTTTAGTGAGTTTTTAGTGATTGGTTGGGACACTGATAAAAACAACTTTCAGAAATTCAGGATAATTATGGAGATGATTGCATCTTTGTCATTGGCCCTATCTTAGTAACAGCTTGGTAGCTACTTAGGTCTGTATGTTGATGTCATTGTTTGATTTTCTTTCCTGACAGTTGTCAGTTGGGTTTGGGGTAGTGGTGTTTGTTTAGGGTTTTGGAGTAGTTTCTTTCTTTTTTTTTTATTTAATCTTTAAATATTATATTTTATTTTTGTTACAGATGTTTCTCCTTTTTTTCCCCCATTGATACCCTGATCCCCATTCCCCCCACCCCATCCCCAGCTTTGTTGTCCATGTCCATTGGTTATGCGTACATGCATATAAGTTCTGTGGTTTATATCTCCCCCCCCCCCACGCCCTTTTCTGAGAGTTGTCAGTCTGTACCCTCCTTCTACGTCTCTGGGTCTACCCTATTCCTCAGACTGTTATGTTCATTATATTCCACAAATAAGTGAAATCATGTGGTATTTGTCTTTTTCTGCTTGGCTTCTTTTGCTTAGGATAATACTTTCCAGGTCCCTCCATGTCATCTCAAAAGATAAGAGATCTTTCTTTCTTACAGCTGCATAGTACTCCATTGTGTATATGTACTGTAGTTTTTTATCCATTCGTCTACTGATGGACATTTGGGCTGTTACAGATCTTAGCTATTGTAAATAGTGCTGCTATGAACATGGGGGTACATATATTCTTTCTGATTGGTGTTTCAGGCTTCTTAGGGCATATTCCTAGAAGGGGGATCACCAGGTCAAATGGCAGTTCAATTTTTAATTTTTTGAGGTAACACCATATTGTTTTCTGTAGTGGCTGCACCAGTCTGCATTCCCACCAGCAGTGTACTAGGGTCCCCTTTTCTTCACACCCTCACCAACACTTGTTGTTTGATGATTTGTTGATGGCGGCCATTCTGACAGATGTGAAGTGATAGCTCATTATTGTTTTAATTTGCATCTCTCTGATAATTAGTGATGAGCCGTTCTTCATATGTCTCTTGGCCATTTGTATGTCCTGTTTGGAGAGGTGTCTATTTAGTTCCTCTGCCCATTTTTTAACTGGGTTGTCTTCTTTTCATTGAGTTGTATGAGTACTCCATATATTTTGGAAATTAACCCCTTATCTGATATATCATTGGCAAGGATGCTCTCCCATACAGTGGGTTCCCTTTCCATTTTGATGATTGTTTCTTTTGCTGTGCAGAAGCTTTTGAGTTTGATGTAGTCTCATGTGTTCATTTTCTCCTTTGTTTCTGTTGCCGTAGGAGATGTATCAGTGAAAATTCTGCTGCATGTGGTGTCCAAAATTTTGTAGCCTACATTTTCTTCTAGAATTTCTATGGATTCACAAGTCACATTTAAGTCTTTTATTTATTTTGAGTTTATTTTTGTGTATGGTGTGAGATGATGGTCAAGTTTCAATTTTTTGCATGTAGCCGTCCAATTTTCCCAACACCATTTATTAAAGAGGCTGTCTTTAGTCCATTGTATGCTCTTGCCTCCTTTGTCAAATATTAATTGAGCATAATGTCTTGGGTCAATTTCCAGGTTCTCTGTTGTGTTCCACTGGTCTATATGCCTGTTCTTGTGCCAGTACCAGGCTGTTTTGATTACAGTCGCTTTGTAGTATAACCTGATAACTGGTATTGTGATCCCAACTTCGTTGTCTTTCTTTTTCAAGATTGCTGTGGCTATTTGGGGTCTTTTTTTTGTTCCATGTGAACTTTTGAAGTATTTGTTCTAGTTCTGTGAAGTATGCTGTTGGTATTTTGATGGGGATTGCATTGAATCTGTAGATTGCTTTGGGTAATATGGACATTTTAATGATGTTAATTTTTCCAATCCATGAGCAGGGTATGTGCTTCCACTTTTTAATATCTTTCTCTATGTCTTTTTTCAATGTCCTGTAGTTTTCTGCAAATAGGTCTTGTACTTCTTTGGTTAAGTTTATTTCTAGGTATCTTAATTTTTTGCCATGATGGTAAATGGGATTGTTTTTTCAGTTTCTCTTTCTGTGAGTTCATCATTGGTGTATAAGAATGTTGTCGATTTCTTGACATTAATTTTGTATCCTGCTACTTTGCCACATTCGTTTATTAAGTCCAGTAGATTTTTGATGGAGTCTTTTGGGTTTTCTATGTATAATATCATGTCATCTGCAAATAATGACAGTTTCACTTCTTCCTTTCCAGTTTGGATCCCTTTTATTTTTACTTCACGTCTGATGCTCTGGCTAAGACTTCCAGTACTATGTTAAATAAGAGTCGTGAAAGTGGACATCCCTGACTTGTTTCTGTTCTTAAGAGAAATGCTTTTAGTTTTTCCCCATTAAGTATGATGTTGGCTGAAGGTCTCTCATATATGGTCTTTATTATATTGAGATATGATCCCCCTATTCCCACATTGCAAAGTGTTTTTATCAGAAATGCATGCTGGATTTTGTTGAAAGCTTTTTCAACATCTATTGATATGATTGTGTGGTTTTTAATCTTCATTTTATTTATGTGGTGTATCACATGTATTGATTTGCGAATATTGTACAAGCCTTGCATCCCTGGGATGAATCCCATTTGGTTATGATGAATACCTTTTTTGATGTATTTCTGGATCCGATTTGCTAGTATTTTGTTCAGGATTTTGGCGTCTATATTCATCAGGGATGTTGGCCTGTAGTTTTTTTTATTTGTAGTGTCTTTTTCTGGTTTTGGAATTAGAATTATGCTGGCCTCATAAAATGAGTTTGGAAGTCTTCCTTCTTCTTGGATTTTTTTGAAATAGTTTAGGAGAATGGGTGCGAGTTCTTTTTTGAATATTTGGTAAACCCCCACCCCCGCCCGTGAAGCCATCCGGGCCTGGGCTTTTGTTTGCTGGGAGAGTCTTGATTACCTCTTCAATTTTCTTAGTTGTTATTGATCTGTTCAAGTTTTCTATCTCTTCCCAGTCCAGTTTTGGGAGACTGTGTGTCTAGAAACTTGTCCATTTTGCTTAGGTTGTCTAATTTGTTGACATATAATTGTTCATAGTAGTTGTTAACGATCCTTTGTATTTCTGTGGTGTCAGTTGTTACTTCTCCCCTTTCATTTCTGATTTTGTGTATTTGGGTTCTCTTTGTTTCTTGGTGACTCTAGCTAAGGGTCCATCAATCTTGTTGATCTTTTCGAAAAACCAGCTCTTTGTTTCATTGATCCTTTGAATTGTTTTTTTTGGGTCTCTATGACATTTATTTCTGCTCTGATCTTTACAATTTCCTTCCTTCTACTTGCTCTGGGGTTTTCTTTTTGTTTGCTTTCTAGTTATATAATTTGTGAGGTTAGATAGTGTATTAGAAATTTTTCTTGTTTCCTGATGTATGCCTGTAGTGCTATGAACTTCTCTCTCAGAACTGCTTTTGCTGCATCCCATAGATTTTGTGTTGTTGTGTGTTCATTTTCATTGGTTTCCAGGAAGTTTTTAATTTCTTCCTTGATCTCCTCGGTAACTCATTTATTGTTCAATAACATGCTATTTAGCCTCCATGTGTTCAAATGTCTTTGCATGTTCCTGTTGCATTTGATTTCTAGTTTCATGCCATTGTGATCTGAGAAGATGCTTGATACGATTTCAATCTTCTTGAACTTGTAGAGACTTCGTTTGTGTCCTCACATGTGGTCTGTCTTTGAGAATGCCCCATGTGCACTTGAGAAGAATGTAAATTCTGTAGTTTTGGGGTTTAATTCTCTGTAGTTATCTATTAAATCCATTTGATCTAGTGCTTCATTTAGAGTCTCTGTTTCCTTGCTAATTTTTTGTCTAGAGGATCTATCTAGTGATGTCAGCGGGGTGTTAAAGTCCCCTACTATGATTGCATTGCTGTTGATTTCTCCTTTGAAGTCCTCCAGAAGATTTTTAATATATTTTGGTCCTATATTGGGTGCATATATATTTATCAAGGTTATATCTTCTTGTTGGATAGATCCTTTCAATATTATGTAGTGGCCTTCTTTGTCTCTAGTTATGGCCTTCATTTTGAAATCTATTTTATCAGATATGAGTATTGCTACCCCAGCTTTTTTTTCCTTTCCATTTTTTTGGAAGATTTTTTTCCATCCCCTCACTTTCAACTTGGGTTCTCAGTTGAATGAAAAACTTCCTCAGGTGAGTGTAAGATTTCCCAAGGGTGGGGCAGATAGTAGTTGTTAATTAGCCTCAATTTGCATTTCAATGGCCCACCTGGTGGGGTTGAATCTCGGAGGGAGGAGCCGCCACCTCTCCCCAGAGCCATCCTGCTTGGCCACAACTCAGCAAAAGCTCTGAGCACCCTCCAAATCCCGAGTGTCCCCACACAGTTCCAGCCAGTCCGCCCTCCTTCTGCTGTATCCCAAAGTG